AAGAAGGGCGCCACGTGGAAGCAGAGGGAGGCTGGGAGGACTCCTTGCCCCCTCCATGGACCGGAAGAGGAGCGGTAGAGACCTAGTGGCATAAACTGACTGAAACCTTCACTCCCATCCCCCCTGTGCCCCGCGGCAAAGGGGGAGAGGTGAAGAAACCAGGAACAAAACTGAGCCGGAAAGAATGGAGAGGTGGGGGAAGGTGTTTGACTTTAAGATCTGGTTGTATCTGTCACTGTTCTACTCTGATATTGTTAGTAACAAATTAAAATTGTGGGTTTTTGGTTTTGGGTTTGGTTTTTGGTTTGGGGGTTTTTTGTGTTTTTTTGTTTGTTTTGTTTTGGTTTTTTTCCTCCCTATGATGAGTCTGTCTTTTGCCCGTGACAGTTTAAGTGGTGAGAAGCCCTCCCAGACCTTATTTTGACTAGCCCCTTTTTGAGGCATTGTGGTGCTGAGTTACACACTGGGCCTAAACCACAACAGTAAGATACTAACATACTGTTGTTCTTTAATATGACTCATAATTATTTAAATGGTGGCTGTCATAGAGAAAAGAAGCATCCCACTTGGGAACTCAGCCCCAAGTGGCCACAAACAGGTGATCAGATGGCTGTTTAGAATATATAAATATTTGTACAGTTTATTCACATTTGAGTCCTGATCACCTCATGTATATGAAGTAGCACTAGTACTGCAGAATAGTGGCACAACTCCCATAAACAAGTGCTGTTATGTGGTGTTTGAGGTTTGTTCATATGACAGAAGGGATTATTTATCAGCTACGTACCTGCTTCTGTTTGTGTTTTAGATTTTACCGAAATTGAAGCTTTTGCCAGTTCAAGTGAATATGAAAGTACAACCATAGCTCATGTGAATGAGAGTCTTGAGGTAAGAGAGTGGCTGCATCAGCCAACACAAGACCTGCTTTGCACGCACCTTCAGTCTCAGTGGAAGGAGCAGGGCCTGACTGCGTGTGCCAGTGCAGCCGGATGCGCTGGCTGGGCAAGCACACCCTCCAAATTGCTTTGGCAACACCTAGCTCAAAACAAAAGTACACGGTGGGGAAGGGAGTGAGATGGAAGACCAAAAAAAAAGACTACTGTCATTTGACCTGGCGTGTCTTCAGCCTTGCTACTTCTAGTAAAAAAATAAGTCCTTGTAGGTGTATTTTCTGGTTTTGCTTTGCTCCAGATATATAAGGTGACTTGAATATAAATGGTTTTTTGCTTTACATGCATGAAGTTGTTTTCAATCCCACTTTCAAATATAAAGTACTAAATATTTTAACTAAAAGTAAAGCCAGTTAACCAAAAGCCTATGTTTTAAGCATTAGTGGCCCTGTCCTCTCTGGGCTAGGCATATCATAAGGCATATCAGACAGTGAC